CTGATAAAATCCATTAAAAAATGCACTTAAAATACAAATGAAGATTATCCTGCTGGACAAGACAAGAATGGTTAACTTTAGTTCATCACAGAATTTTTGAAAATAATCTGAAACATCATGTCTACTACTGTTCTCTCTTAAATATTTTTTAAATGCATCCATAAAATTGATATAAATATATCAAGTTAGACATCTGTACCAAATAATTACAGAGCAATATGAATATGAAATTTGGGTTATGAGTAAAATACAAATGCATAAAATACAATTTTGTGAAAGAGGAACTATGCCGAATAATTGCCTTAACTATGCTTTACCATGATAAAACAGCTTTTGACTAATTGTGATGGTTAGATAGCCTAAAATACTGGTAAGTTAACCTCTCTTGCCAAAATATTAGTGGAACAACTGGAATGACTGCAAAGTGTGTTGGTGTGAGATGTGTGAATGTGCCACAGTCAAATACAAAGTTTTCCTGTTAATACAAACACGTGTAAAGCACGCTGGATGAGGAGAAATTGGCCTGCACCTTGAGCACCACCGTTGAGGTGTGTTAACCGCGGGCGGTGTGGGTGTATTTCAGGCTAATATGTGCTAATCCACATTAGCTAACAGTGCCCACACTCATAGTTGCAAATGGGTACTCCCTCATCGATGTGTTTTTGGTTAGATTGTGTACTCGTTAAAGTAACTGCTGCACTGGCACATTTACATTCATCTCCAACCGACGATAATCAGTAATCACTTAACTTAGCTAAAATGTAGCTGTGGCTACGTGTCTGTCGTAACTTCGACAGCGTTAGCAGTGGACTCAATGTTTATGAAGAAGTTACAAACACCTCTGAAACATTAAACTATCACTCAAAGATAACATTACTTATACAACGCGCACACACACACGTAGATTAATACAGTAAGTTGTGTGGCTCAAGTTAACAAACTGTTTGAGGTAGCAGCGTTAACGTTAGAGCACATTCGAAATTGGCGCTATTCGACATAGCGATTGTGCAGCAGAAAGACGTTAATTAGGGTAAAATCTCAATTTTAACAATACAAAGAGTTACTTACATGAGGTACATGAAGTATTATCCGGCTCCGTAGAAAACCTCGTTCAAATAAACTTCTGGAACAGACGAGAATGAAGAATTTGCCCGGGCTTGTTCTTCTGTTGCTGCAGGTAGTGGGCGGGTCGTGTCTTTTCACGTCTGATACGTCTGATATAAACTTTTAAAATGAGTTTTGTAAAATCAATTTTTTGTGAAGTCCAATTAAATTAATTTTATTATAGAAAATATTAGGTTACGAAAATATTCACACTTTTTTACTTTTTGAAAACTCAAAAAACAAAGAAAGAAAAATAAGTTAATTTATTTGAATAAATATAGTTTTTAAAATTAAGTTATAAGAACAATAGCACTGAACGACTTTTTACAGTGTATATTTTTTGATATATATGTTTTGTTATTCTAGTACATCAACCTAAACTAAATTAGACATGTTAAAAGTAGGGCCACACACACACACACACACACACACACACACACACACACACACATACATATATATATATATATATATATATATATATATATATACTGTAAAAACATTTTTTCTTTTGTCAAGTCAACTTAGATCATTTATGTAGTTCAGATAACATAATATTTTGAGTTTCTGATGATTAAATCAACCTCCTTCATTGTATTAACTCAATTTTTCCATTTCAATGAACTTAAAACTTTAAGGCAACCAGGTTACTTATTTTTTTAAGTTAAACCAACAATATTTTTTACAGTATATAAATAATAGCTGAAATAAAAGAAGTTTAAGATTTTTTTCACATTTTTTATTATTTCAATTAAAACGTATTTTAATTTGATTAGTTTTTAATGGTTTTAGACGATTTTCATTGTAAGCAGATGAGATGAGTAACAACACAAAGATGTGGCTTTGTTGGTTATTTTTATTGATGCCTATCAAACTGATTACGTAGACCATCCTGTATCCATTATAATTCCCTCTCTCCCACACACACACACACACACACACACACGCAAGCACACACACACATATGCACAATGCATTCCAACTGTACATCCATACACACACACACTTCAAAGCAGATATACAAAGAACAACGTGGTCTGACATGCAGAGCACTCATATGGTTAACCCGTGTGCATTGTGAACAAACACTGTGCACAACCTTCCAGATGCAACACTATGATTCATTCGCACATAGATAGTCAATGAGATGTCAACATATATTCACTGATATATTTTAAAATTCTGTCGAGGGGTTGGAAAGACATTGCACGCAAACATACATAACCACAGAAATTGAAGAGTTAACGTAACCCGGCCAGATTTAACATGTTCATAAGTCATTTAGTCTTGTTGTTATTCCTGTAAAAGCTGGGGGTCCTAAAATCGTCACCACCTTTCGCCCCACTAGCGACGGCCTATGTGTTTAAATAATATTATAAACTATATGTATATTATAAATATGATATGGTGGTACATGTGTCACATGATATAATGAGCAGTTTAGTTCCAAACGATGTCCACATAATAAGTAAATAAAAGTAAAAAATGGAAAAGATTAGTGAACGGACATACAGACAGACACAGAAAACTCTGCAGAATCGCATTTACAGGATTCATGACAGTTGTTGAGCAGAAAAGCCATTTATACAGAGAGAGTGTCCCTCTTTCGGATATATTATGCTGGATCAGTTGCATAACCGCTGCACGGAAGCACGATGACAAAGCAGTGCTGTACAAAGAGATCAATTTGATGTTTTATACTGTTTCGTAATCATAATTAGAGACAAATTGATGTGAATGTACATATTTCGGTGAGATGGTGCGAGCAAGGTCCGTGGCCTAGACAATGGCTTATTTTGTTTCGGATACCATTCATTATTCATTTTCCTCTTAGTAAGGTACAGCATCTCTTCCACGTCAGATAATGTCCAGAGGAAGTCTTTCTTTTGCTGTCTTTACGAATGTAATACTGTGCAAAGGAGATTCAAATTCAGGTCCTTTCTGAGAAGTGTGTATTATTTATTTTGCATGAAAACACAAAAGCAAATTTGAGTCAACCAATAGTGTGAGTTTGGGGCGGGGCTATCGGTTTGAATGACAGATGAGGGGGAGGGTCCGCAAATCTGTTTCAAAATATGTTTGCAATTCCGTCCGGTGATGATGACACAGAAATTACACTTTTTTTTTTACACAGTATTTTTTTTTTTTTTTTACAACCAATAATTTATAGTTTTAAATTCAAAATGTGTGTTTGCTTCTGTTTTTCTTCACAAAGTGACCTTTGCCATACACACTTAAAAATAATCAGCATCTATGGTTCTATAAAGAACCTTTAACATCCAAACCTTTCCATTGCACATAACAGTGGAAAATTATTTTTCACATTATTAAAAGGTTCTTTACACTAAGAAAAAAAAAGTTCTTTTAAAGTGCCCCTATTGTGCTATTTTAAAAGTTCCTAATTTTGTTCAGGAGGTCATGCATCCAATGTCAGAAAAAAAACGTTTCCACATAATATATATTACACATCAACTCATTTCTCAAATAGTCTTAAAACGGTCAGTTTGAAGATTCAGTCTCTCTAAACCCCTCCTTTCCGAGAGATACTCTGCTCTGATTGGTCAGACGGCCCAGTCTATTGTGATTGGTCGACAGCTAACGGTGCATGTCAGTCATGAAACGCCCAATTTTAGCTCCAGATCTGCCTGAGCTCTTGATACACAGTGATATGAATACTAATGACGATGACGGTTTTAGCGCGAGTCCTTGTCCTTTTGTAGTACATGTAAAGTGGATTCGCCGCAACGAAAACCGGAACTACTCGACACGCCGAGAACATAAACCAAACTCTTGCAGTCTACGACAGTGTTTGAAAGCGGGTCGAAGTAGACATTGTTCGAAGGCAGGCATTGAAAACCATCGGCTGGCATTATTGTTACGTATGTTTGTAACAGGAAGTGAGACTGGAATTACTGACGACCAGTGATGGGAATAACTTTGTTATAAATAAACGGCGTTACTAATGGCGTTATTTTTTTTCAGAGGACTTTTGTGAGGAAAAAAATACTTCAAGTAGGATATAGTATATCAACCAGTTGTAAAGGTGAGTTTTATATTTAATTTTTAATTTAATTTGCACTACAAAGTGTTTATGTGTAGCCTGTGTATATTTTTTATTACAATTTTTTTAACGATTCTGAAGAGAACACGCAAAAGTGGCGTTGCGTTCTCACTTTTTATTCTGCGTTTAGATGAGCGTTTTGGGTGGGAAATTCGCGTGCATATGGTGACGCAAAAGTGTGTGAAATGCAATGTAGTATGCACTCCAGGCGGCAATGTGGAGCCACACAACAACACCAAGTCCGCGCGCCTGCGTACAACCTTCACTGTCAACCAGACTTTTGCGTTTTTACCATAGATATGTATATAAAGGCTAGATGTGTCGTCCGCGCTGCTGGCCAATGGAGGTCGACGTCAGCACCTGGCGGCCATCTTGTCACAGGCAGCTCGCTCACTGGTAACATTGTTTTGATGGTGCATGTACTTTTTAAATCACCGTAACTTGCTCAATTTTCTACTGATTTTCAAACGGTCTGGTTTGTTATAAACGGCAGAGATGTAGTTATGATACTGCATACTTATGAATAATAAGTGTATAAATAAATAATCATCCAGAATTATAGCCACGTTAAGAACGTTTGTAAGAAACCAAACCGTTTGTAAATCCGTCAAGATTTCAATGAGATAAGAGTATTTCTTACGTCAGATACCACAGAGCCCGCCAGAAAGCCTGTCTGTGACAAGATGGCCGCCGGTGATGACGATAAATACTCCGCCGTGACACTGATCATTTATAGATATCTATGGTTTTTACCCTTTACACGGGAACACGACGGTGGAGCCTTTTTAAGATTTCCACTCTGGAGGGTGGGTTCAATTTTTTTAACGCCGTCGCCGTGTAAACGAAAGGCACATCCGATAAAATATTTTTACGTTTTCACCCGCGAGCGTTCTCATGTAAACAGGGCCTAACTCAGTTACTTTTTGTGAGAAGTAACTAGTAACTATAACTAATTACTTTTTTAAAGTAACTTTCCCGACACTGCTGACGACTCATTTCAGCAGTCTAGAATGTTTTTTTTAGGATAGAATAAGAATTAGAATAACTTTATCCTAGATTAATTGTATTTGTCCTGCACAGCTGTATTAAACACCGCAATAAAGATAATAGTTAAAAAAAGCATAATAGGGGCACTTAAAAAAAAAGTTTTTTTTTACGGAACCAAAAATGTTTTTAATGGTCTCACTGTCTTGTACTCTCCCAAAATATGCATTTTTTAATACCCCAAACATTCCAACACAGATATATACACCTAATGGCCACTCTTTTTCAAAATCCCAGAATAATATACAAACTAATTCTTTTCATAAGTAAAATAGTCAACGACATTCACTTGGTTGTTTCGACCAAGTCTTGCAGCAACAGAGAATTGGGATGAAAATCCTTTTCATTTTTTGAGAGATTCCCATTCCCTTTGGCTTTTAAAGGGGAAACGTTACATCTGAACTCTTGTTGGAGACAACAGTCGTGGGAATCGTTCATTAGTCAGACGGTCTCGCGTTTTTGCGCCGCCAAAAGGCCAGATTTCGACGTGTAAACGCACGCAGAATTGTTCTACAATCACATTCAGTCATTAGGGGAGACGCTTGCTGTGAGGGGGGATGTTATTTAGCATGCAGCATTTGTGTAGAGAGTGAAAATGAAGTTGTCTGTAGATAATGACGAAGGGCTGGTGAGCAACGGTACTATTTACGGTCATGAGTCTGTCCGCTCATAGAGGTAATCATGTTTTAAAAGATTCAGCGTGTGCAGCTTTGTTAAACTGAATCTTTTGTAGCTTATTGATTTTTATTGCATATGACTGAGCAGACTCTTGGTGCTAATAGCTTTTGGATCTGGATCTCTAAATGTTTTTTTTGTTAAAAACATGATTCGGAGGATAAAAATTCACACTAATTGGACTAAGATCTCTGTTGCTATAATTACTCGATTGCTGATAGCAGGACTGTAAGGAACAGATGGTGTGCTACCCACAACCGGAACCTTTCACGAATGTCATTATAAACTCTTAAGACTCAAGTTTTGCACATTACATCCAAATCACATGAGAGAAAATACAGCATAAATCAAAGCATCGTCCAGGATGACCGATTAAACCGTTTTCAGAGGTGTTCCTCGGATCTCAAAAGTGTATGCGGCGGTATTTTTCAGTGGAGATGTTTCTTCGCTTCGTTGCGTCCCGTGTTCTTGCGCAAAGAGGCCGTTTACCGTTTGTGTATCAGTATTTGGTTTCATTGGGCTTTCAAAAAGCTCCTTTAAAAACACATTTTACCATCATGCTGTTCTGAAGTGAGAAGGGGAAAAGGAAAGTCTGAGTAGTTTTGTCTCATATCATGGCTAATATCTTGATGGGTTGCTGATTATTCACAATATTTCTCATTTAGGGCTGTGATTGTGTTCCACTGGAGGAAAGTAGGCGGGTTCTTTCTTTCCCCGAACCCCTGCGCTGGAGTAAGACCCCGCTCTCGCCGCGCTCCACCCACTCGCACCGATCGCCTCCGCCCTCGGACCGCCGGGAGTTTTGTCTGGTTGGCGTTCTGGGAGGGCGACCGTTCTTCTCATCTGGCGTGAGGCAAAAGAAAGCTACGAAGGAGTGGAAACAGGCTGGAACAATAGGCTTTATGCGGATCGTCACGTGACCAAACCGGAAAACGGGTCTCATCGCATCCGCTTGTCATAGAAAGTGTTGACGGCCGTAAGAACTGACTACAATATCTATGGATTTTTAAGGTAATCAGCTAACCTACCTAGTTCACTTTGTTATTGGCGTTTTATTCCATTTAAATATCTAAACGTTACTGTGAAGAAGAAAAAATATAAAACGTTTAAATATCAATCTGCATATGGTTATGCTAATCTTTACTCGCTCCTTTTAAGTTATCTTGAGTAAAACCGCAAAAAAATTTCATGAAGCACATACAAAAGACCTGAACCGGAAGCGATGAGACCTGTTCAAACAGAATGCGGAAATAAGTTGTGCATAGAGCCTATTCGTGAAATGTGTTCGTTCTTACCTGAATGAGTTTGCGTCATGGACTGATCATGAGCACCGAGCAACTGGGCTTGAATCGTTTCGACAACTCTTCTAAATCTGCGACTTGGACCTGCAAATATAAATTCACACGCATAATATAACATCAGTGGTGTGTAGTAGACCTCTAAATGAGGCGGCAAGATCCCCTTTATGGGTTTGAGTGTTGTTTAGTCTTATGTAAATCAGTGTAATGAATGAATGGAAATAATGAAAACGATTCACGAACTCCGGCACAAAATGAACCTTTGGTCTAATAACACATTGGTACCTAGTCGACCGTTCTCTGAGATTTGTTTTCATGATAATCGAATGTAAAGAGTTTTATCTCTAAAAACTGTTTAGCGTATAATGCTAGTATATGGGGCATGTAGTAATGATGAAAAATAAAGTTAAGTTAATACCACTGACAAGGCTCAAAATCGCCCCACACGAACACAGTAACATAATGAGGGTCCCTACATGCAAAACGAAGCATTGAGAACGTTACAGACAGTGTACAGACAGTTTAATAAGAAGATATTTTCTAAAGACAGTCCACTTCCGATGCCTGGCACTAGACAAATTTTCTTTTTTTTTAATTTTCTTTGTCTTAAGGCCTGTTCACACCGGGACGAATTTCCCGCGCGATATTCGTTGACGTTTAACTCCTCGTGACTAAACAATGGGCGCCAATGTGAGTGTTCACACCGACGCGAAAAACGCCACGCGTAAAAGCGTAATTTTTAAAAAACCGCCTCGGGTTCGTTTTTTTGGTTTGACGCGCCGCATCAAAACCTTTTCACTTGGGTGTGAAAACGCTTTGAAAAACGCTGACGAATAACGCGCGCTGATATTCGTCCCGGTGTGTACGGGCCTTTACGCCTGGTTCTGATTACACGATTTTTTTTGTCTGTTACGATAGTCACTGTGTCAGATTACGCGATTTTAACTGCTAAAATCTTGTCGTGTCGTGGACAAGACACAAATGTCAGACTACACGTTGCTTCCTGACCAGTCATCGCATGCCGTCTTTAACGGCGCGTGTGATGTCATCGAGAAGGTGAAACTAGTAGCGAGTGACTTCCGGAAACGAACGTAAACAAACAATGGATGAAGCGGTGTGTGTTGTATTGGCTGTCTTGTGTTCAGAAAAAAGTAAAAAAAAAAGAAAGTAAACCCGACAATGGACACGTTCCTGGATTGCTCGAAGAGGACAGTATGGGCTTTCAATCCTCCAAAGAGAACTTGAGGAAAAAATTTGTTTTCTTATATATTTTTTACTTTTAGTTTTAACGTTAGCAGCATCGTCTCTCTTTCGTTTCACCATTTTTGAAAGTTGTATACGGAAAAGCTCATGTGCTCCTATTGGTCAACCTCATACATTTGACGAACCGTCGTGGACGACCGTTAAAAAAATTAAACATGATAGTCTTTTTGTTGTGATGTTCTGAAGCATCGCCCGTGACGTAGGTTGTCGCCCACTATGACACACTATACGAGATGAATCTTGCGTCTCGACGTCCGTTGCCGTTTACGAATCCCCACGACACCCTACGTCAAACGGATCGTGCCAAAATCGGGCTAAAATCGTGTAATCTGTACCTGGCATTACGTGGAGTTTGCATTGGGGTTTGGAATGAACTACAAGCCGGTCTCTTTGAATCCATCTTCTACTTTTGTGGAAAGTTGACTAAAGTTTTGTCGCTCGAGTTGTCTTCGCTGATACGGAGAATGGCGGTGAATACACAAACCTGCCAGACATAGCCAGGTCTCGTCTAGTCTCAAATTCCGTCCCGAATCCCTCTTATTTATTTTACTGTACAGGATTATAGAGGCAATCGCAGTGATCAGAGAAGGGCTCCTTCAGCCCATCAGGCAATCGTTTAAGCATGTATGGGTTAGAAAAACGGGTATTTTAAACATGAAATGTTGCGCAATGCACCTTTAAATATTTAAATTACTGAATATATAAATTAGTTAAAAATATATATATATTTTAAAGGGAACGATTTGCTATTTGGATTTCCATTCCAATAACATTTATACAATAATTTATATAATCATTCTTTTTATTAAAATCAAAGCCTTATTTTTTTATATTTAGGATATATTTATGTATATTTTGGCTATCTACTTAAGAATACTGCTACAATGATACACTGAAAAATAATCAATCAATTAAATTTAACAGTATACCAGCATTTGCTTAAATTTTTATTTAAACTGGCTGCGAAACAGATGCTACCTCGTTCTGAAACTGTATCCGCTGGTGTGGTGACGCTGTTGTAAACTTGAGTGATTTAAACACTGTTTTATCTCATAGTTTGTTTCTTTACTCCAAATGAAATGCTCTGATACTTTACTGGAAGTGAGCAAAAAAAAATCATCACAATTAATCCTTTATAAAAAAGCAGTTCTTACCTGATATGAGGCTAAAAGTTACACTATATATTCCAAAATCCTTCTGTCCATCCCTCTCTCTCTCCCGCTCCGGCTCTCTCTCCCCCTCAGAGAAGGAGATGTCTACCTGGAATTTGACAGGCTTCTGGAAGACAGACGGACCTCCGGAAGTCTTATATTCTGCTCGGAAACTCGTCTGAGAGATTACGCTGTGACTGAGGGAGGGAATCTGAAGACAAAAGCAGGAGAGAAAGAAAAATCTGTGTTTAGGTGTGGACATCATCACTTTTGTGTACTAATTTAATTTTGTAAAAGATGTTTGTTGATTTCTTGTAGAAATATTGTAGAAATATCTTAAAAGCATTGTGATGTGAAAAAGTACTTTTTATACTTTTCAATTCTTTTTTTTTTTTTTTCACAATAATGCAGTGTGAATTGGCCTAATCAAATATTAATATACTAAAAGTTTGAATTGGGTAATATATATTTATTTTAAAGAAATGACTACTTTACTCAGCAAGGAGGCATTAAATATGAATTCAGCTGCAGCAAATGAACATATTAGAATGATTTCTGAAGGATCATGTGACACTGTCATGCTGAAAATTCAGGAATAAATCATATTTTTAAATATATTACAATAGAAAATAGTAAGTTTATTTCAGAATAATTCAGTTTTACTGTATTAAATAAATGCAGCCTTGATGAGCATAATTTCTTAAACTAATCTTTTGAACAGTGTGTATGTGATTAGTTTGGATCTGATTCATGTCATGTAATACATGTTATCCAAATGTTAAATCCATGGACAAATCAGGTAGACTCACAGAGAGGAAGGCATGGACGATATCAGCTTTAATGGAACTAAGAGGTTTGTCTCTGATGACCACAAAGATCTGCTCTTCTTTCTCCAAACTGATGAAATTCCCAAACCAGGACCTTTTAGCCAGCCTGCCGAACACAAACACATGGAAAAGCTATAAAACTCATCAAAATAATGCAGCACACTGAGGAATATAGATTACTATTGTCAATATGTTTCTCTCAATAGTCACCGTGACGTCGAGTGTTGATATCTGAAACATTTAATGTTTAGAATCTGCCACTAAAATATTCCCTGTCGAATGTTAGACTATAGTATTTCTTATTTAGAATGTATGGGAATTGAATTTTATGGTGGGTAACAGTGGGTGTTACCAAGAGGAACAGTAGCGAAAACAGTTAATAGCCTAATTATTCCTGTTTTTGGAGGACAAAAACCTTTACCTAACATTATAAGTGGACCTTGGGGAATACATTAATATAACATAAAATGTGCAATATGCAGTAAACCCTTTAAAACAGAATGCAACTCTATCCAGATGATTCTTTGACAGACTTCTCGGCTTTATGCATGTGCTGAGATGGGAAATGTGTCTTACTCTGGGCTGGATTCTGGTGTTAAACTGGACATGTCCTCTGTGGTTGGCACTATTGGAAAGGTAAGAGTAAGAATGAAACATAGACCGAATACAACCTGACAATAACTAAATTCAATTATTTGACAGTTTTATATTTCAGGGGTTTTCAAACTGAGATCCAGGCACCACCAGTGGGACGCAAGCAGTGTTAGTATCAATGATATACTATTATATTCTAGTTTTTGTTATTATTTTGAATTAAATTTCATTTTTCAACCAACTTAAACATTTATTTAGCTGTAAGTTGAACTTGAGAAACATTGAAATTCAAAATGAGAAATGTTGAAAAATAATTAGCAGACATAAAATAAATGTACGTTTTTCTTTTACATTAATCGCGACTATTTTTTTACATTTAATTGTTATTGCAGTTAATGTTTAGATTTAAAGTTATGAAAATTAGAAGGGAGTCTGCAGAAAAGTTCAGAGAAAATGAATTACATTTGGGTAAGTACACTCTAAAAAAATGCTTTGTTTTAGCCCAAATTTGGGTCAAATATGGACAAACCCAAATGTTGTGTTAAAAATGTGATTTAAACGAGTTTGTCCATATTTGACCCAAAGATGGGTTAAAACAACCCAGCATTTTTGTAGTGTAAGTAAATAAATAAAAATGTGATTTAACTTTTTCATTCTGGTATCCAAGATCAGAAATATTGAGATTAATCAATTATTTTACTATTAATTTGATCATTTTCTTTAAGTTTATACGTCTAAAAGTTCTCTAAAAAATAGGAAGAAAACCACTTAAAGGAGTAGTTCACTTTAAAAACAACTTTTGCTGATAATTTACTCACCCCCATGTCATCAAAGATGTCCACGTCATTCTTTCTTCAGTCGAAAAGAAATTAAGGTTTTTGATGAAAACATTCCAGGATTTTCTCCATATAATGGGCTTCAATGGGAACCAAACGGTTCAAGGTCCAAATGAGAGTTTCAGTGCAGCTTCAAAGGGCTTTAAACGACACCAGATGATGAATAAGGGTCTTGTCAAGCGAAACGATCGGTCATTTCAAAAATAAATAAAAAAGTTTAAGTTTTATAAGCACAAATTCTCGCCCTGTTCTGTTCTGTGATGCGCGTTCGTGACTCTCGTGTTCGAACTCGTTCATCAATATGAACAAATCGTTTTTCGAGTCATGACTCGAAGGGTCCTTCCTTGATAAGACCCTTATTCATTGTCGTTTAAAGCCCTTTGAAGCTGCACTGAAACTCTTATTTGGACCTTGAACCGTTTGGTTCCCATTGAAGTCCGTTATATGGAGAAAATCCTGGAATGTTTTCATCAAAAACCTTAATTTCTTTTCGACTGAAGAAAGAATGACATGGACATCTTTGATGACATGGGGGTGAGTAAATTATCAGCAAAAGTTTTTTTAAAAGTGAACTACTCCTTTAATAGAAGGTAAATATATTCCAGATGTAATATTTTTTATTCATCACCAGAAACGGGTCTTTAGGGCTCCATGGCACCAAAAAGCTTGAAAACCCCAACGCTACTCGATGAAATACTTCGGAAACGTGACGACAGCGACACCTGCACCCACCCTGCAGCTTGCGCCGGTGGAACCGCGGCGACCCCAACAGGTTGTTCTTCAGCGAGTTGAGGCGTGTCCTCCAGTGGGCGGAGCTACTGGCCGCCATGCCGCCGCCTCCCCCTGGACTAGAGGGTGGGGTCAAGGAGAGTGAGCCCACGCCCACGTTCCCTCCCTCGGCTCGGGAGGAAGAAGAGGAAGAGGAGGAGGAGGGTGGGGTAGCGGTGGGGGGGTGGGGGTGATGCACAGGGGTACCCAGGGGGGTTGGCAGGGGAGAGCCCTGAGGGGTGACCTGAGACATGGGATACAAGCTTTTAGTCACCGACTTCAGCACCGCAGATGGAGAAGGAAAGAAGAGGAAACGGGGAATGGGTGACAAGAGGGGAGAAGGGGAGGGAGAGCGGGAAGTGGAGGCGGGCAGGGGGAGGGACTTCATGGACTGGAGTTGGGGGCGTTCAGGTGCATTTTTAGATGGAAGCGTCTGCGTTTTGGGTTCATGCGATCGATTGGGACGAGTGACGGTGCTGCCGCTTCCCGCTTTGGTGGCGGCAACTACCTCTGGCTCGCTGAAGGTAAAGACAGGGCTCTGATGGGATGAGGAGGAGAAGAATCGGGTGGAGGAGTGAAGGCCGTGGCAGATGGAGAGAGAAACAGGAGTGAAAATGAGCAATGGCAGGTGATACGGATTAGTGCACAGTGATGGTGTCTGGGGACTTGTGTGTGTGTGTGTGTCTAAGACTGACTGATGCGCATGTTCATATTAACTCGGTTCAGGAAATGTGAATGAAAAAAGGCTAAGTATTCAACTTGTGTCATAAAGATATAAGAAGCCCAAACAAAATCCTTTGTTAACCTTAGTTAATACAACTGTTCATTGTTAATTTTAGATCAGATCCTTTAAATAATATTAATAGATAGCTCTTTTGAATGTAATGCATTCGTAAATGTTGAAATTAACATTAATATTTGCTTTAGAAGTATTTTTCATGTTAACTAATGTTAAAAAAAACCTTATTGTAAAGTGTCAAAATTATAGTCTGTTGCTATATAGGACTTGAAAACTTGAAATCTAACACACAAGTCATTTTTATAATTATTTTGAACAATTTCTAACTTCGATACAATAATTGAAAAACATTTAAAAAAAAAAAGTCACAACATTAAAGGGATACTCCACTTTTTTTGGAAATAGGCTCAGTTTACATATAGGACAAAATATATACAATGGAAGTCAATGGGATCAGAAACTGTCTGGTAACTGATATTCTTCTAAATATCAGAAAATCGTCTGAATGGATTTGAAAATGGTAAAACTCAACTGTTTAACTCTGGAGGAGTGGTAAAATGAGCCTATTTCCCAAAAAAGTGGAGTATCCCTTTAAGGGCATAAAACTGGAACGCTAAGTTCATTTACTTTTGACCACAAAAAAAGTATTTTCTTATCAACTGAAGCTGTCTGTTTGAGATCACTCAGGCCTGATAGCTATAGTGGGATTACATGATAAAAACAATTATATATTATTATTATTATTATAAATAAACATATTACTATTGTAATACAACTGCACTGTAAAATAAAAAAACAATATTTCATAAAAAGCACCTTAATTATTTTACTTTACACTGCAATTCTTGTCTTGATATTTTCACTTGCAAGTGTTGAACACTCAGGCTTTTATTTTGGCGAAAAAAATTAGAGAAGCCTTTTACATTTTTGTGACAACAAGTTTACAAACGCATCTCATTACAAATTTAGTGAAATGCTGCGAGAAAAACATGTTGGAGATTGATTGCGAATTATGAAAAAGCGTAATGTTGCGTTCCCAAACGCATGTAGAGTTTGAATCGAGTCGCTCTGAGACGCTTAAAAACACAGCATCATAACCTGCGAGCGTGTCACAATACAGTGCTCTTAAACACACAGTGTAACAAACTATATACTTACCGTACGTTCACACCGCCGCCGCCGCCGAGAGCGGCAAAATTCGCTCTCGCCGCCCTGCCAGCGACGCAGTGGAAAGATTCGTGGACGCTCTGATGCTCTGACGTAGATCGAATACGTGATCTTTTTTGAAATTGTATTTAAAGGGGCCGCAAAGCAAACAAGCATGTCGATTGTTATTTTTGTGGTGTGGCTTTTGTGTTCAGGGTTAAAGGAGTAGTTCATTTTTGAAAAAACTTTTGCTGATAATTTACTCACCCCCATGTCATCCAAGATGTCCATGTCTTTCTTTTTTGATGAAAACATTCCAGGATTTTTCTCCACTTAATGAACTTCAATGGGAACCAAAAGACACTTTCAGTACAAACTGCAAACTGGGATTTAAATGAATCCAGACAATGAATAAGGGTCTTATGAAGCGAAACGATCGCTCATTTAATAAATAAATAACAAATTTTAAGTTTTATAAGCTCAAATGCTCGCGAGTCACAAACGCGCGTCACAGAACAGAGCAAGGTGAGCGTTTGTGCTTATAAAACTTAAACTTTGTTTTTTTTTTTTTTTTAAATGAGCGATCGTTTCACTTGATAAGACCCTTATTCATCATCTGTACTCGTTTAAAACCCAGTTTGCAGTTTGCACTGAAAGTGTCTTTTGAACCGTTTGGTTCCCATTGAAGTCCATTATATGGAGAAAAATGCTGGAATGTTTTCATCAAAAAAAGCGTAATTTCTTTTCGACTGAAGAAAGAATGACATGGACATCTTGGATGACATGGGGGTGAGTAAATTATCAGCAAACGTTTTTTGAAAAGTGAACTACTCCTTTAAGTGCTACTATCCTGTAATTTACATTCCCGCTGAAAAAGTGAAATGAAGTGTTGTGCGCCCTCTTATAAAATTCAAATGATCAACCTCCTCTATTTTGCTCCGGAACTAATGTGGTCGGAACTAAAGTTTACAGGACTGCGTTCTCTCTTTTAAACGGAGCACTTCTACATTCCGATTGGTTGCCGCCGAACCGTGTCATTGCTTATTACCATAAAGTTGAACTGACTTCAACTCTCCTCGCCGTGCAAGACGCGCCACGCGGCCCTCGCCATAGCTCGCCGCCGGCTCTCGGTGTGAACGCACAGTTATACTAGAAGAGAGACTGTCTGAGTGTATCGAAAATGAGTATCGAATCCATTGCAAATATTTCTGTATCAATATGTATCGGGAAAATCATAGTTTTGTCAACACTGCTGCTGAGTAACTCTGTATTCATAATAGCAATATATGGTGACTAAATTATGATTGAATTGTCATTTTTGGTAAACAATCCCTTTAACAGAAAAGGTTGGCAAACAGGCACTTACCCTGGGACTACTCAGAGGACTAGACGAAAGGCCAGTTGATGCTCCACTAACAGATCGAGATCTGTGGTCAAGAATCAATAGAGCTAAATCAATATTTACAAAGCTCCATATATGCATTAAAGCATGTATGTGAGTGTGTGTGTGTACCTTTGGCTGTGCGTGGAGGTGTCCAGCGCTCTGCGTGGGGGTGTTGGAGAGCCCTGCTCCGTCACACTCAGCACCTCCAGACTCTTCCGTTCGGGCCGGCAGCGGCCGTGACGGGACAGCATGGGCGAGTCTACGCGCTTCCGTGGAGGGTCTATATAGAAAGACAAAACGTTCGCAGTTTGCCTGTAGCTCAAACAGCAGAGTATGGCGCTAGCAATGCCAAGGCTCTGGGTTCAACTACCAGGAAAACTGATAAAATGTATACCATGAATGCAATGCACTGTAATTTCCGGAAAAGGCGCACCGGATCCAATTGCATTGTTGAAAACAAAAAAAAACAAACATAAGTCACATTACATTCAGAAATATTGTAAAATACTTGTGAATTAAACGAAACGTTTACAAACATTAGAAACACTGTAAACGTTTTTTTTCGTTTCCGCTCACTCCACAAAAAATCCTTCAAATGTAACAGTATACAGAAGAAGTATGAAAAATGTACATATTAAATAAAGATAAATTGAGCTCTTTAACTTTTTATGCTTGGCTGACTGCATTTTAGTTTGATGATGTATAGGCTGCGATGTACGTTGCGTTCTTGATGTTAATTGCATTATTTAAAGCGCCCCTGTTATGCTTTTTCGAATATTAGCTTTCATTGTAACTGTTCGTGAATGTGAAATGTCTGCAAAGTTTTACGCCGCCTTCACACTGGCAGTTGAAATCAGCTCCGATGCGGCTGCGAAACGACCGGAAGTCATTCATTTCCTATGGAGATTCGCAGACCGCATGCGAATGGGTCCGAAACGGGTCCGACCGAGTGCGGTGCGAAGAAAATCGTGTCCGTTGGTCATCCGGATGCGTTCAAAAATTTGAACTCCTGCGAAAAGCTACGGACGGTTCCTATCCGACAATTCCAGCGGAAGTTGAGCGTTGCTATGGTACTGATTAACAAAATTGAATTATTAACTTTTATATATAATAAATAACGATTTTATAACGATAAGTTAAATAAGATAAGATAAGATAAGATAAAAGTGCATGAAAAATAAAGTTATTGGGCCGTACACTCTAAAAACTGCTGGGTTGTTTTAACCCAAATGTGGGTCAAATATGGACAAACCCAAATGTTGTGTTAAAAATGTAATTTAAACATTTATCCAAATGGCTGAGTTTGTCCCATAGACTGTAAAAAAAGATGGACGACGCCCCTTCGCTCTTTTCCATCGGAGAGAACTGAAGCCGCCAGTGTCTCGATATGACGCTGACATCTTGGAACTTGAATCTGCGGACTTGCGTGTTTCGGGACCAGTCATGCGCAGTCGTGAGCAGGAAGTAAAGCCGCGGAATCAAGGCCCCGCCCTCATTCTCGCTGAATCAAACGCAAGCACACGCAAGTGTCCTCTGTCTGCTTCGTTCTTCTCCAATGATGTCTGCTGATTGCAGAACCTCGTTCAAATAAGGTAAATACAACTACTGACCACATAATCAACATTATGAAAAAGTCCGCTGGTGCTTCAGTGACTACCTCGCACAGAGAACCTGTCAATCACAGCTGTCAATCATGATGTCAGAGCACCGTTTTTATCATCACATAACTAACTAAAAACAAATTTATTTTAAAAACGAACACTTGATAGAAACTACAGTAAATGACAGAAACTATCTGCGGAAAAAGGATAAGTGAAGTGTAATTTAATTGTTTAGTTGGGCTCGCGTCCCATTGAATAACATGGGGAGGCGGGGGTTATGAGCTATACTAGGTCCGGTCACAGGGGGGCGATCGAGACGTTTTGGCTTCAGTTTTGAGGGCTTGTGCGGCACGCTTGGTTTGTCCATATTTGACCCAAAGATGGGTTAAAAAACCCAGCATTTTTTAGAGTGTATCATCCTGCACAATGCGCGCCAGGCGCAAGTGTTTTTTTGCTAGTTTCAGCCTGACGCAGTTATCATTTTCTTGTCCTGCGTCACATTGATTTGCCATTTGTGTGCCCATGGGGTGCTGGTCTGAAAATGAGATGTGTTCAGGCGCATTGTTGGCGCCATGCTATTTTGAGGCAACTGAAATAGATATTTCCCGCAATATATATTTTTTTTCTATAGGCGGGTCCACAACGCGCGTACACTCTGCTTATTACACAAACAGGGACTTTTCAATGTAAAAGATTAGCATTGTGTACATAAAGTAATGGTTGAGTCCGATTTGTCCTGCTGATCCTGTCGCGCTTTAACCTCGCGCACGAGCAAATCCGTTTGCTCTCTGGAGACGCATTCAGTTTTTCCATATGCAAATTCCGTCATGTAAATAGCGAATCCGCCATGGCGCGAGTGCAACTGGCTTTTAAAGGAAAGAATAGATTCTGAACTGCTGAAACGAGTCGCAAGTAATTCCACTCTCACTTCCTGTTACAAACCTACGTGACAAAACAACAAATTCCAGCCTATGGTCTTCATTGGCTGTCCGTGAACTTTGACACTCAAACACTGTAGTTGTAGCGGAGACTGGATGGTTTGTGTTGTCTACATGTCGAGAAGACACTTTTCAGCACTGAGAATCCACTTAAAGGAGTGGTTCACTTTTGAAAAAACTTTTGCTGATAATTTACTCACCCCCATGTCATCCAAGATGTCCATGGCATTCTTTGTTCAGTCGAAAAGAAATTAAGGTTTGCGATGAAAACATTCCAGGATTTTTCTCCATATAATGGACTTTACTGGGAACCAAACGGTTCAAGGTCCAAAAGACTTTTGTTCAAAGGGCTTTAAATGATTCCAGACGATGAATAAGGGTCTTATCAAGTGAAACGATCACTCATTTAAAAAAAATATAACAAAGTTTCAGTTTTATAAGCTCGAATGCTTGCCTTGACGTTTATCAAAATGAATGAGTCAATTCGTTCATTTTGTTCGTTGAATGAACCAAATGACTCGAAAAAAGATTCGTTCATTTTGATGCATTTATAAGCATTTGAGCTTATAAAACTTAAACTTTGTTATTTTTTTAAAAAAATGACTGATCGTTTCATTTGAAAGACCCTTATTCATGGTCTGGCGTCGTTTAAAGCCCTTTGCCGGTTTGCAATCAAACTCTCTTTTGGACCTTGAACCGTTTGGTTCCCATTGAAGTTCATTATATGGAGAAAATCCTGGAATGTTTTCATCAAAAACCTTAATTTCTTTTTGACTGAAGAAAGAAAGACATGGACATCTTGGATGACATGGGCGTGAGTAAATTATCAGAATTTTTTTTTTAAAGTGAACTACTCCTTTAAGGTGACTGCGGTGAAATGAATATTATGAGAAAATTAGAGTTTTTTTTCCTTTGATTTATGTAAAACCCCTGTAGGACACTTCCAAAACAAAATAAGTAGCCTTGAAAGTAGCACAATAAGGGCACAGAAGTCACTCCGGAAAATAAGTCGCAGCACATTTCAGATGTATTCCGGAAAATACAGTAATTTGCTTTGGATAAAAGCATCTGCCAAATGTATAAATGGAAATGGCCACATGGTTTCACATGAGTACATGTGACTTGATGCTGACCATTAGTTAAAACTGTCAAAAACATAGGATTCTATAAACTGCACTTAATTTAACCCTTCGTTTAACTGTGTAAATGAACAATCGAGGGGAAAAGACACAAACCAATCTCATTTCTCGGAGGAAGATCCTCGTCCTCATAGCTGGGATAGCGCTCTTTACGGTCTAACAGGAGATAATAGATCATCTTCTCTTGGTTATCTCTGAGGAAAGGAGTGAGATAAATAATACAAATGTTAAACATTAAGTAGTTTTCTGGTGAAAATGTGCATGGTACTCGCACTCACTCTTCACGCTGCAGGTCTTGAGCCAGTTTAACCCGGTCCCTGAAACAGCCCAGAGAATACATGCTGTCCAGCACATCCGGGTCCAGCTCTGTCATAGACATGATCCGGCCCATACACACACGCCTCGGGGGCGGCTGCTCCGGACACGGCTCATTGCGTCCAGCTCTTGATCACACACGCACAAACAAACACACAGACCAACGTGAGCTGCCTGCACAAATCAACTGCGATTTTGCCAGTTGTGAAAGACACAGGCTGAAATCGTTTTAATAGAAATCGAGATCCATTCATAAAATACAGCCATAAACACACAAATAACCACAGTGATAGAGTATAAATCATCAATACTTACTGATACCAGGCGTGTGTCTGGATGGCCTCAAGCTGCAGAGAAAGGACAACAGATGGTGTAAATACTGTAATCTGCTGACAGGCAGATGGCGCTATAACTCGAGTAGTGTTGTTGTGAAGACCACTTAAACCGAGACCAAGTCAAGAAATCCTGAGCGAGTGATTGTAAGTTTTGAGCAGAGAGAACTATATTCTGCAAGCACAGTGCATTATATTTTGAACAGAAATTAACAATCGCAAAAAAATTCGTATGAGCAAAGAAAAAAACGATTCTGTGTTCAATAAATGTATTTGCTATTATCCATATTAACGTGCAATAATAACCCCTCTCACGCAGTTTACAGGTGCTCTCTCAAACTTATTAGCTGCGCTCCTGTCAAGTCTCTCTCTCTCTCTCTCAACCTCTTAATTCTGTGCGCGCTCAACTTTTGACACACAAGTGTGTCACAAGATCAACCAATCGGAAAATTACAATTACATCGCTCAGGATTGAGGCACACATATAACGCCATAAAGACCAAGAGCAGTGTGTGTTGATACCAAAACAATAAAGCTCATCGTTGCACTGCAGAGGTGTCTAAATTGGTACTATTACAACTGCATAAATAAATAGTAAATAATCACATTTACAATCTTGCTAATATTTGTGAAAACAGCTCTCTTGCCATTTTAATTAATATCATTAAATGTTATATATAAAAAGCAAGATGTCATACGACTACTTTTTCACAATCATTTCTTGAATTTTGTGGGCATTTGTATAAATTTAGGTGACATTTTGACACAATCCCCCATTAATTTCAAATTCTGACCTGGCATAACAGTAACAAAGTTTTACATCCAATCACATTAATGATGTTTACAAATAAATCAGGAAATGCACCGGCAATTTAGTAATATCCTCGCAGTTGTTCTCTTGATTGGTCTTGAGATAAAAATATCCAGTCCTCTTATGCTGGCTAGTGGCTACAGACTGTGGCAATCCTTTAAAATCACATTGTACGACACGGATCCAATAAATTTGGTTACGACATATGTAGACTGTACAATGATGACACATATTAAATCATAGGCTACGACGCAAGTTAGCATGTGCCAGTGGTAAACAAATAGAGCAAGATGAATCGCACTCTGCAATTGTGTTTTTTATGTTCGCTGATAAAAGGAGGAAGTAAAAGAGGAGAATATAGACACAGTCATGGCTAGGGAAAAGCAAATGGAGCTTGAGTAGAGTGCCATGTCGCGTTGATCAATATGCTATTTTATGGTGCACATTTATCGGCTAGTCAGTAGCAGTGGTGGAACGGATCACAAAATTCACGGTTCGGATCATTTATGGTTTTTGAGCCACGGATCGGATCATTTTTCTACGGAGCCCACCTAGTCCCACTTTGGCAAAAAAAATTAATCATAACTATCTCGTGGCCTCAAGATAGTATCTCGTGGCCTCAAGATACTATCTCATGGCCTCAAGATAGTAATTCATGGCCTCAACATAATAACTCGTGGCCTCAAGATGCTATCTTGTGGCCTCAAGATAGTAACTCGTGGCCTAAAGATAGTAACTCGTGGCCTAAAGATAGTAACTCGTGGCCTCAAGATACTAACTCGTGGCCTCAAGATAGTAACTTGTGGCCTCAAGATATTAACCCGTAGCCTCAAGATACTAACTCGTAGCCTCAAGATACTAACTCGTAGCCTCAAGATAGTAACTCGTGGCCTCAAGATACTATCTCGTAGCCTCAAGATACTATCTCGTAGCCTCAAGATACTATCTCGTAGCCTCAAGATACTAACTCGTAGCCTCAAGATACTATCTCGTAGCCTCAAGATACTATCTCGTAGCCTCAAGATACTAACTCGTGGCCTCAAGATAGTAACTCGTAGCCTCAAGATACTAACTCGTAGCCTCAAGATACTATCTCGTAGCCTCAAGATACTATCTCGTAGCCTCAAGATACTAACTCGTAGCCTCAAGATACTAACCCGTGGCCTCAAGATACTAACTCTTGGCCTCAAGTTACTATCTCGTGGCCTCAAGATACTATCTCGTGGCCTCAAGATACTAACTCGTGGACTCAGAATCCTAACTCTTGGCCTCAAGATACTAACTCGTGGACTCAAAATACTAACTCTTGGCCTCGAGATAGTAACTCGTGGCCTCAAGATACTAACTCGTGGACTCAAGATAGTAACTCGTGGCCTCAAGATAGTAACTTGTGGCCTCAAGATATTAACCCGTAGCCTCAAGATACTAACTCGTAGCCTCAAGATACTAACTCGTGGCCTCAAGATAGTAACTCGTGGCCTCAAGATACTATCTCGTAGCCTCAAGATACTATCTCGTAGCCTCAAGATACTAACTCGTAGCCTCAAGATACTATCTCGTAGCCTCAAGATACTATCTCGTAGCCTCAAGATACTATCTCGTAGCCTCAAGATACTAACTCGTAGCCTCAAGATACTAACCCGTGGCCTCAAGATACTATCTCGTAGCCTCAAGATACTAACTCGTAGCCTCAAGATACTAACCCGTGGCCTCAAGATACTATCTCGTAGCCTCAAGATACTAACTCGTGGACTCAAGATACTAACTCTTGGCCTCAAGTTACTATCTCGTGGCCTCAAGATACTAACTCTTGGCCTCAAGATACTAACTCGTGGCCTCAAGATACTAACTCGTGGCCTCAAGATACTATCTCGTGGCCTCAAGATACTAACTCGTGGACTCAGAATACTAACTCTTGGCCTCAAGATACTAACTCGTGGACTCAGAATACTAACTCTTGGCCTCAAGATACTAACTCGTGGACTCAAGATACTAACTCTTGGCCTCGAGATAGTAACTCGTGGCCTCAAGATACTAACTCGTGGCCTCAAGATACTAACTCGTGGCCTCAAGATACTAACTCGTGGACTCAAGATACTAACTCGTGGCCTCAAGATAGTAACTCGTGGCCTCAAGATAGTAACTCGTGGCCTCAAGATACTAACTCGTGGCCTCAAGATACTAACTCGTGGCCTCAAGATACTATCTTGTGGCCTCAACTCGTGGCCTCAAGATAACTATGGTGGCCTCAAGATACTAACTCGTGGCCTCAAGATACTAACTCGTGGCCTCAAGATAGTAACTCGTGGCTCAAGCCTCAAGATAGTATCTTGTGGCCTCAACATACTAACTCGTGGCCTCAAGATACTAACTCGTGGCCTCAAGATACTAACTCGTGGCCTCAAGATACTAACTCGTGGCCTCAAGATACTAACTCGTGGCCTCAAGATAGTAACTTGTGGCCTCAAGATACTATCTCGTGGCCTCAAGATACTAACTATATCTTGAGGCCACGAGTTACTTACTTGAGGCCACGAGTAGTAGTATGCTTATTCAGACAGTAGTATGCTTATTTAGAGTCCACAGTATGCCCTCACCGTGAATCTTTTTTCAGGGTCGACCTCGATCATGCCCCGCAGCAGAGCCTGGCAGTCGGGTGGGATGAAATGGGGCATGTGGAAAACTCCACTCTTCACCTTCTCCAGCAGCTGCCGCAGGTTATCGTGGTCGAAGGGCAGAGCGCCCTGTGGACGGCAGACAGGAACACCCACATACATAAACACAGATGGTAGAGACATGCAAGGAGTGTATTCATTTGGCTAAAAACGAGGAAAATGCCCTTTGAGAAGCTGTCCTTAAAACTGAAGCGATTTCCTCCTCACCACTAGCAGAGCGAAGAGAATGACTCCACAGCTCCATACATCAGCCCGTCGACCATCATATTTCTCACCCTACAGTAGAAGCCAGACAGGGTGGTGAGGTCAATGGTACACCTTCAGGCAGAAAGATGCTTTAAAACATCTATGTTACTTTTTAGATCTATGGACCTACCCTGATAACTTCTGGACATGCATAATGAGGAGATCTGCAAATAGTTTGGGAAAAAACAGAGTATGGAAGGGTGTGAGAAGGTATAGCTTTTTACAAATATTTGCATTTACAAAAAAAACCCCAAAAACTCTGCAGCATTTATTTAAATGGAAATTAAAATATAGTTAAGGAGTAAGGAATAGGAATGGCGACTTGATAAAATGTTGCATCTTCTTACGAGTACAAGGAGCAGATTTAATAAACAGGGAAAATTAGCGGGAGAGCGCAAATCATTTCAAAATCAAAATCATTTCACAGCCGAATCATTTTCATAATGACCGACGCAATCTACCAAGAGCAGCGCAAATTAGCATCCAGTGGTTTTATGTGGTAAATAATGGTGCAAATACCAGTAAATTGACAAGCATTAACCTTAACCTTATCCTTTATATAACCATAAATTCTGTGTCTGAAAGGGAAACTCCTACAAATGTATATACAATAAGGTCAGCCGTAAAAATAACCCTGTTCATGCCTTGTCAGTGCTAACATTTCACTCACTGCGTGTCTTATGTTTAGTAAATCCTGACAGTAGTTTTTCAATGCCAAAAGAGGGTTTGCACTGGCGCATGCTGTTAGTAAATCTGGCCCCAAATTTCTCAAATTAATGCAGCCTAAATCCAGGGTTGCCAAGTTCACAGGTTGGACATATTGCATAAATTGTATTTGACTGAAATGCTTGTATATTCAATCAATGTTACTGTACTAAGAGTTAAGTTTTGTTAAGGAGGGCCTCTGATAGGGAGATTTTTGAGCTGTGTTTATGATCACTAAGTATAACAAAGGAACATTTTGAGTTTTGATTTGGATTATGGTGATTAGGCAACTTTTGGGATTTTTTTGATAGGCCATATTGAGCTAACTCAGATCTGGCAACGCTGCCTTTCAAACTACAACTCTGCACAGACTTTCAGGCTGTTCTGACTTAGTGTGATTATATGCTAGAAACACGCAAGCAATTTTTTTAATCTACCAATTTAACATAACAGACTAATCTAAGCAACAGACTAGCAAGGTGTTAAGAATGCTAGCAACATACTAAAAATGCTAGCTACATGCTAAAATATAATAACATCATGCTAGCTATGAGCTAAAACATTCTAGCATCATGTTAAAACCTGTTAGCAAAATGTTAAATCATGATAGCAAAATGCTAACTAGACATTAAAGCAAAAACCTCAAAACAGCTAAAACATACTAGAAACATGCTAACAACTTCTAGAAACACATTAAAGATGCCAGCAACATGTTTTACATAAATTACATTAGCCAAATGTTAATAATAACTAGCATGCTATGTCCATGCTTTACATATTATGAATGCTATCATGCCTATAGCTAACTGGCTGTTTTTCTTACATTAGACTATATTTAAACATCAAACTTTAACAAATATTTACAACTTTTAATTTAATAAGCCTTTGTCAAGCCAACTTCAAAGTTTGTCATGAATAAATCGAACCTACTTCTCTAGTTGCTAGATTGGACTATAAAAAATAACTTTATATTAGCAAAAATAAAAATGCCTAAGCTAAGTGACAGTAACCCTATTCAACACTTGGATATTATAAAGGTGCATTCGTTCTTGGGCAATCATTATAATTTTTTCGTCTACCGCTACCACAATGTGTTTGACGATGTAAAGATGGCAAATCTTTCGATGTGGATCGATGTTGATCATATTTTGTCTTTTTGAAGTGAGTTTTAGAGGGTGGTTTTACTGCACTTTTAAATGTATGAATGTATGAAATTGCATTAGATGACAAAACATTAAACCAAGAGGCATTTGCCAACAATTATTTTGATTGTGAAAAGATCCATACAATATTTGTCATGTCATAAACCATAACTACTATTGCAATGTTCAATAAAGCAAGCACCAGTATTACAAACCATACGCACATACAAAATACTCACCCGCAGCTTGTCTCTAGCAGACTGTCTCCCACCTGTAGTGAGGCCATGCCAAAGTCAGCAATCCTGATATTGTTCCTCTCATCCAGCAGAAGGTTTTCTGGCTTTAAGTCTCTATGACTACAAGAGCACAGAGGACACGTCACACACCAACAACCCTCCACAGAAAATTATTCTGAAACATTAATACTTCACTCATCCTTGTCTTTATAGACGCATACACATGTATCTGCTCAACTTCGAGACTAGAGCTACAACCACCACACATGGAAATGAGTGACTAAAAACTGCTCACTTAATGCTCACGTTGAAAACAAAACCTTTGTCGATATACAGTACAATACATTATCAAACCACTGTTTGACTTAGATTTTATTTTTATATGTTCTTTATATTTTTATTTTTATAGTGCCCCAATTATGCTATTTTAATGTTACACTGTGTGATTTTTACCCCCATCTAGCGGTGAAAAGGTATATGACCATCCAGTGAATATTATTTTCTGTTCCTCTCAATTCCGATTTAGTTTTAACTCCTACGGTGGCCAAAGTAGTCCAAGATTAACATGGCTTCCAGTTTGACCTCGTCCATGAGTGTTAACTCAAACGTAAACGCGAAAGGCGAAGCTTGAATTAACGGGTATGTCCCTCTTTGGCTAATGTACTTTCAAGATGGAGGGTCAACATGGCGACCGACACTAGAACCCCTTACCCGTATGTATTTTCAATGGCATATTATACACTCACGAGAATACTTTAGTACTTGAACGAAGTAAATAATAATTAATGAGGACATTTATTTTTTTTGTTGTTTTTAGCTAAGAATAAACTAAAATAGTTACACAGTGTAGCTTTAAAGGTTTCTAATGTTGTTTTGGAGTATCCTACAATAGGTTAACATGCATCCGATGTCAGAAAACACTTTTCCATTAGCAGTACCAGCTCGCCTCGACTCGGCTCGCCTCGGCTTGCTTTTCGCTCTGTTTTCCATTGCAGACAGTACCGCCACAAATAGTACCCGGTCGTCATAGCAACGCCTTTGATTCCTCGTTGCCCCATCAAGCTCTTGCTGGATCCTCTCTTCGGAGTCTGCACCGCCTCGTTTGACCACGGCGTATTCTTCCGAGTTGCCATGATAATAATAGTGGAAAGTTTAGGAACTTCTGGCGTGTGTTTACTCCATCTGGCGTGTGCAATGATGACGCAGTGAATGGTGACGATTCTCTCTGACCAATCAGCAGTCGGTATTGTTTTCACGTCACATTTTAGTACCGGCTCAGCTCGCCTTAGCTCGCTCAGAACCCGAAAGCCGGAACAGGTACAACTTTTACACAGTGGAAAACCAAACAAAGGCGAGCCAAAGTCAAATCGAGCTGGTACTGTGTAGTGGAAAAGCGCCAATATATTGCAAATGACCTCATTTCTCCAAGAGAGATGATCGGTCAGATAACCCAGTCTGTTATGATTGGTCGATAGCTTACAGTGCATGTCAGAAATGAAATGTCCATTACCAAACAGCTCTTGATGCACAGTGATAGGAAAAGTAATGATGGTGTCAGTTTTTCCACATAGATTATAACGCGAGTCCTCTTCCTTTTGAAATGCATGAATGAAAACTGGAACTGCAACATGAACTCTTCCAGTCTCAGCTACAACGACGGTGTTTGAGGGTCAAAATAAAAGTTGTTCGCAGGCAGCCAATGAAGACCATCGGCTGGCATTATGCAAATGTGTTACATTGTTACGTAGGTTTGTAACAGGAAGTGAGTCTAGAATTGCTGACGACTCATTCCGGCACTTCTTTCTTTTCGGAGACAATAACTTTATCGTGCACTTTGATCTTTAAAACGTTACAGAGATTTTACAATCACAAAAGGCTACACTGCATGAAAGCTATATTCGAAAAAGCATAATACACTGTAAAAAAATATTGATGGTTTAACTTAAAAAAGTAGGTAACCTGGTTGCCTTAAAATTTGAAGTTCACTGAACTTGAAAAAGTGAGTTAATACAATGAAGGAGAATGATTTAATCATCAGAAACTCAAAATTATATGTTATCTGAAGTAAATAAATTATTTAAGTTGATTTGACAAAAGAAAAAATGTTGCGATTACAACACTGTAAAAAATATTGCTGGTTTAACTTAAAAAAGTAAGTAACCTGGTCTGCCTTAAAATTTTAAGTTCATTGAACTGGAAAAAGTGAGTTAATACAATGAAGGAGATTAATTTAACCATCAGAAACTCAAAATAATAAGTTATCTCAACTAAATAAATTATTATAAAGTTGATTTGACAAAAGAAAATATGTTGTGATAACAAATCTTGAAAATATTTTTTTTTTTTTTGCATTTTGCATTATAATAACCTAAAATTATATTTATTTTATTAAATGTTGAAGAAGCAGCGTATCTTATGACAAAAGAAAACAAAAAGAAGGTTTTGGTTGAAAACAGCTTGAGGCAAAAGGCCATATTCAAATACAATATTCAAAATAACCACCAATAAATGGTGTATATTCCTGTATTATCTTTGCTTTTTAGACAGTATGATTTTAAAAATACAATTTGAGAACACTAAGAAATCTCATTTGTGATGCAAGATCATTTTGTGGCCAATAGCTTCAACAAAACGGAAAAATATGATTTTCACGAGCTAACAAAATATTATGAAATAAAAAAATGAAACGGCTTCACCCCAGGGCACTGTTGTATTTTATTTATCATTCTTATTTACATTATTTGTGTAAGTGTGAGTATGCACATTTGTGTCTTACCATATGGAGTGACTATGACAGAAGTCCAAAGCAGATATGATCTGTCTGAAGAACTTTCGTGCCTCTTTAGGCGTCAGTCGGCCCTTCTTCACCAAATAGTCAAACAGCTCTCCACCAGAAACATGCTCCAATACCAAATACCTGCATGAATGTGGAGGACATGTTTTAAGGCAAGCAGAAATAACAATGTGTTCTGAGTGAAGCCTATGAGAATTAGTGAGAAAGGGTTCTAACTCACAGGTATTTGTTATTCTCATAAACATCGTGGAGTTTCAACACGTGTGGATGTTCGATCAGTTTTAATATAGCAATTTCTCTCTCCACCTGCGGTTGAATGAAAATATCAATTCTTTAGAAATAGCAAATTCTGAAACACAATAAAGTAGCTTTTCATGAGCAAAAACATACCAAAAAGTACCAGGGTGTCCCTATGATTTGATACATGTCCAATGGTAATACTATGATTTTTTTGGCCTTGGAAAGGCATGTTAAAGGACTAGTTTACTTTTCAAAAAACATTTGCTGATAATTTACTCACCCCCATGTCATCCAAGATGTCCATGTCTTTCTTTATTCAGTCAAAAAGAAATTAAAGTTTTTGATGAAAACATTCCAGGATTTTTCTCCATATAATGGACTTTAGTGGGGAACCAAACGGTTCAAGGTCCAAAAGACAGTTTCAGTGCAAACTGTTCAAAGGGCTTTAAACGATTCCAGACGATGAATAAGGGTCTTATCAAGTGAAACGATCGCTCAATAAAAAAAAATAAAAAAAAGTTTAAGTTTTATAAGCTCAAATGACTGTCCTATTCGAACTCATTCATCAAAATGAATGAATCTTTTCCCGAGTCAACTCGTTCATTTCGTTCGTTGAATGAACCAATAGACACAAAAAAAGATTCATTCATTTTGATGAAAGAGTTTGAACAAGAGAGTCACGAACGCGCATCACAGAACAGAGCTAGGTGAGCAAAACCTTTTTGTTTTCTTTTGTCATAAGATACGCTGCTTCTTCAATATTTAATAAAATAAATATAATTTTAGGTTATTATAATGCAAAATTCAAATCAATAAAAACTCAGAGCTAGGTTTTTTTTTAATGAGCGATTGTTTAGCTTGATAAGACCCTTATTCATCGTCTGAAATCGTTTAAACCCCTTTGAAAAGTTTGCATTTTGCACTTTTGGACCTTGAACTGTTTGGTTCCCATTGAAGTCCATTATATGGAGAAAATCCTGGAATGTTTTCATCAAAAACCTTAAAGAATGACATGGACATCTTGGATGACATGGGGTGAGTAAATTATCAGCAAAAGTTTTTTTTTTAAGTGAACTACTCCTTTAATACCATAGTATATGACGTACATGCATAATTATAATTAAAGGGATACTTCAGGATTTAGCATTAAGGTTTGTATTAGTATTTTCGAATTACCGTGCTTTCCACCCTCATATCCCCCTGAGACGAGAGATTTATGTACTTTTTTATGTACTGAAAAAATCCACTGATGACGCAAAAATCATCATTTTGTTTCATCGGAGGATTTTGTTGTCCAGAGGCTAAAGACTACAGTCGGTAGTCGGGTCTGTCCCGCATGTCCTCAACCCGCCCATAGAGGGTGTGATCTCACTCACAGAATGAACACATAGTGTCGGCCATCTTTTTTTGGAAGCTAAGCTAGCAGGCTCTTGTTCTGTGGAGAAAGCTGAGTGGTAGGGGTTACCGTCCTCTTTTTCTCGGACATGATCGATGTCCGGGATTCAGCTTTTCGCCATTCATTGTTTACATGCACACCTTTTGTTTCAATCTAACTGAATTCATTCCGATTGGTAAATCTGACTGTAGTGTTTACATGAACGCTAAACAAGTGATCGGTTGATGTGCGTATAACATTGCTAAGAAAATTCCCGCTCCTCCGTGAGAGATACGAGACCGGTGCGTCTCACAGGTGTCGCTCATCGGTACTCACGCCACCAGCCTCGCGCCGTTCTCCCGCGGCCCGGCTCGCCACAGTAAACATGATGAATGGCGACTGTAGATCGCAAAAGCCGAATCCCGGACATTTTGGGCGATCTCGAATCATTTTCAGGGAAACTCATCATGGAGACTCACTAGTAGCCTAGACTTGTTGTCTAACTACTGCGCTCTATTACCGGTAGGCGTGGCCTCCTAGGGCAGCGAAGCAAGTGCATTCTGGGAGTTGTTGTTTTTCATCCACATAAGCCAAAAAATACATTTGGCTTTTTCTCAGTTTCTAGAAAGCTCCAAATTCAATAATAATTTCACATTTCTACTACATAAATGACCCATTTTAAATACACATTCATCTTTCCAGAGCTGAAGTATCCCTTTAATCAAAACTAAAACCCATAAAAATAACTTTTTTACTTGAAACGTAACTTGAAGTAAAATCAACATTAACTTAAATAACTCAAATTTGAAACATATTTTAAAACAGATAATAAAATAGCAAAAACAACTAAACTAAATTTGCCAAATGTAAAAAAATTTTAAAAACCCTAATAGTATCTCAATGATTCTAAAATAGCACTGTAATATGATAATCATGCAGTATGCCATAATCTGATATCTGGTGGTATCTGATACCATCACTGCGCCATGGTAAAACATAATACTTTTAACAGGTAGAATATTAACATTTGAATTGAATACGAATTAAATTGAAATGAATTATTATTAGTAGTGACGTGGGTGACACTATAGCAATGAAAAGTACAATATTACCGTTTCCTTACCTTCATCAACACAGATTCTGAGAGCTTTTCTCGGTTGACTATTTTGATGGCTACTTTTTGACTAGTGATGCAGTGAATCCCAAGCTTCACCAGACCTATCGACATTCACCAGACAATTCATCAGCGACGACTGCTTTGAAAACAACAGAAATTACAGAGGAAAACGACGTCTCCTTACCTGTCTGGCCCTTCCCGAGAGTCTTTTCGAGTCGATACGGCCCCACATACTGAGCTGTCTGGGTCACTGACAGTTCCTTAGACATAGTGGCGGCCTGGCTCCTGATAAACTTGCTACTGCATGCAATATTATCACAGCGTACTGTTTCTGAGCTGAGTTTTTCTACAATAGTCTTGCAGGGGTCTGCAACAACCCGGAATTATATCCATGCTGAGCTTGGGATTCCCTAAAATCTGTCTCGGCAACAGTCACACGGGCCTGTTAAATATTCTGAAATCTTTCAGACCGGTACTGTCTGTGAGTCATGTATGTAACAGAGTGGAAAGATACAGATGGCAATGTGAAGATAGAGTTAGGTCCATAAAAGCAGCCTAATTCATAGCTTTGCCAATCAAAGTCACCCTCCTCAGACTTCTAATTCACAGCGCATGCCATGACAGAGAGCCAGGTGCAGTATTGATAAGCTGCGGTTAGTAGACTTATGACCAGTGTTTCTAGATGTATCTACCAGCTGGCCATCCCCTCATAACAAACACCATTTAGAAAGTCCTCCTTATACTAGTGGATACTACAGTATAAGTGGACTCAAGCCTAGAGTACACTTGCTAGGCCTGAATCACAGGTAAAGGAACCAGAATCTTACCATTTACGGTTAGACAAACAGGTAAATATAATCCCGATTCATTTTAGCAGCATAGCTATCGTGTATGTGAGTCCGATCGTGTATGTCACTGTGAGGAGATCCAGGTTGCGCTGCTCGCTCTCGCATCACTGTAGCGGATCTACCCGATCTGTTTCATCTGTGCTGCTGATGTTGAGCTCAGACCGCAGCATCCTCATCCTCATCCTTCTCTTCTCCGCCGGTCCCGCGCACGCTCGCGCCCGCTGGACACTTTTGGGGATGAGATTTGATGTTTTTGATGCAAATGTATACGTTGCGCACTGATCGCTGATATCTTGTGTGTCTTGACGGTATTTGCGTTTTAAAGCGTTATTTTCTCCGTTCTGGTTCCTCGCATCAGCATCCGGGTCCCACACCCTCCTCCTCCTCATCATCATCAACCCTCCCTCTCAACACACTCCCCCACTGCACCTCTCGCGCTACGGATCTGGACAGGCTACAGAAAAAATGTAGGCTACCACAGCGGTACAGTCATGGTATCAAATACTTTAAAGTAAAAGGTTCTTTGTTGTTTTTTTTTAAATAGGCTATTCTTAAATTTTTAAAAAAAATAATTGGAACCTTTATTTATAAGAAGACAGTAGGCTTCATTTTATGTTTGGGGTTTGGGTTAGGTTTTATGTTGGTGCACTTATTTACAGCTAGGCCTTTTCTTTTTGCTTTTATCCAAAGCGCGCGACTTACAAAAGAGGAGATAGGCAAAGTTAACAAAAGGGCAACACTATAGTGCTGTGAGAAGGTTCGTTTAACAACAAACAAACTAAATGTATCAAATAACCTTTATAGAACTCCAATGAACGCCGAGGTAGCTATCATTGTTCCAGGAATGTTCTCGGACTTCAGCTCGTGTTCAGTCAAGGTTCTCTCTCAAATGTTATTAAAAAACATCCTTTGAGTGACGTTAATAGAATGTTAGTTCAAAGGTTCGCCCAAAAATTAAAATCTTGTCATTAAATAATTACCCTACTCACCCTCATGTCGTTCCATCCAAACCCGTAAGACATTCGTTTATTTCCGGAACACTTTTGCGGAACATTTTTGCTGAAATCCGAGAGCTTTCTGACTGTAATGTTATTACCACTTTCAAGGCCCAGAAAGGTAGTAAACACATCGTTAAAAGTCTTTTTTTTTTAAAGTTACTTTTTTGCACAAAAAAACAAAAAACTTTATTAAACCATTTTTACTCTTGTTCACGTGATTTGAACTCATCCCCTTAAATAATGTTCTCAAAATGTTTAACACAAAACATTTACACATAATTTATTTTCTGAAACATTGTAGTTGAACGTTTGACTAATATTTAACTAGCCTACTTGTATCAAAACGTTCAGAAAACTTTTAAAAGTAATGTTCCCATGGCCATGGCGTTTGCAAAATGATAATGAAAATAGAACAAAATAGAAAACAAAACAAAAATAGAACATTCGCTAAAGGCCGCTTTAAAAATAGGCCTTTTTAAAAAAACGGAAGTCTGGAACGTTCAGAGAACATTCCGAAATAATGCTTTGATAGATTAATGAGAACGTTACCAAAATGTTCTTAAAACATGTTTTTGTTCTCAGAACATGTCCAAAAATATGGTATAGGTCTATATATATATATATATATATATATATAAACCTGGAGTTTTTAAGTGTATACATCTTCTGGTCAATATTCAAGATAAAAATAACAAATCAGGCAATATCAAAGTTTTAATATACTCCACCTGTTAAGAGTTAAACATAATTACACAGGCTCTGATGGGTTTATTATTTTTATTTTACGTAATTGTGCTGTCACAACCATGATGCGTCAACACAGTTATACAAAATGCAGTTTTTTAGTGAATCTTTTTCTAATTTTACGAAGGTCCTGGCTAGCAGTATACCATAAAAACTACATGGCAACAGCATGATAATTTGTTTTGTCAGCACCTTTAGAATTTCTTCAATAGATAGTGCTGACAGTCAGTGGCACTTACACTGAATGAGCAGCACTGCAGTGTACTTGGCATGAGTTATCAAGTAAGCAGACCACTCCAGTTCAAGGTAAATCAATCACATACAGTTCAGACATTTAGTGTCAGTTATCTTATCCCTGTTATACCTCTGAGTGTGTGAGAGTAATGGCAAAATAAAGAAACAATTATAGTCATTTATTCAAAATCAGATTAAATGCATTATGCTTTTTTCACAGTGTGAATCTGAACAAAAATAAAAACTGGGTTCTTCTTTCTTTCACAGTTACAAATAACATGGACGACATGAGGGACACCGAGAAGACTTCTCGGGATCAAACTAAACAGTTCCAGTGCTTTCCAGGACTTGCACCCCTTTCACTGTCCTCAAAATGGTTCAGTCCAGTACAATGTGAGGGAATGCAAGGACACTGGAGGACCCAGAAAGGAAGGACCTTAGTTAAAAATAGCAGAAGAAAATCAGAATGGACAAATCAATTCATTCGTCCAGGCAGAGAAGACATTATCATTTCACAATACTATTGTAATGAAATACTCTGAATAAAATGGATCAATTTCAACGAGTATAAAAGTTCAACTAAAACATAAGAAATACTTACATGTAAAATGATGTCCCCCTCACGAGGCCGCCGTGGCCCCCTTCACGCACGCCTCAAAGGCTTCCAGCAGCTCTTTACAGCCCTCTGCGCCTTTCCCCTGAACACTGCAAATATATAGAGTGTGTTTAATCTGGCCATGCAAAAAGTGCTGCTTTTTAAAGACATGGGTTGTCAGTTTTAAAGCTTTTTTTCTATTTTAGCTTTCATGCAGTGTGTAATATATAGCTTTTTGTGAATGTAAAATGTCTGCATTGTTTCAAAGAAAGTGCACAACAAATAAAGTTATTGTCTCCTAAAGAAAGAATCGATTCTAAACTGCCGAAACAAGTCATCAACAGTTCTAGTCTCACTTCCTGTTACAATCTTACGTAACAAAACAAATTTGCATAAACCGATAGATCTGGCTGCACCCTTTCTCCATCAGTAGCACCTCATTGCAGTACACAAGGATCCAGGGGGTGGAGTCGGATCCAGATCTGAGGGGTGGAGCTGGGTAGGTTTAGGGGTGGGTTTAGGGATCAGGGGGTGGAGATGGGTAGGTTTAGGGGATCAGGGGTGGAGTTGGGTAGGTTTAGGGATCAGGGGGTGGAGTTGGGTAGGTTTAGGGGTGGGTTTAGGGATCAGGGGGTGGAGATGGGTAGGTTTAGGGGTGGGGTTAGAGATCAGGGGGTGGAGATGGGTAGGTTTAGGGTTCAGGGGGTGGAGTTGGGTAGGTTTAGGGATCAGGGGGTGGAGTTGGGTAGGTTTAGGGTTCAGGGGGTGGAGTTGGGTAGGTTTAGGGGTGGGTTTAGGGATCAGGGGGTGGAGATGGGTAGGTTTAGGGGTGGGGTTAGAGATCAGGGGGTGGAGATGGGTAGGTTTAGGGTTCAGGGGTGGAGCTGGGTAGGTTTAGGGGTGGGTTTAGGGATCAGGGGGTGGAGATGGGTAGGTTTAGGGGATCAGGGGGTGGAGTTGGGTAGGTTTAGGGATCAGGGGGTGGAGTTGGGTAGGTTTAGGGTTCAGGGGGTGGAGTTGGGTAGGTTTAGGGGATCAGGGGGTGGAGTTGGGTAGGTTTAGGGATCAGGGGGTGGAGTTGGGTAGGTTTAGGGTTCAGGGGGTGGAGTTGGGTAGGTTTAGGGGATCAGGGGGTGGAGTTGGGTAGGTTTAGGTATATGTAAGGTGTTCATTTCCGGGTCCGTTTATTTCATGTTCTGTGAGGACCATCTCTTCGCCATGGCACGTGACAGAAAGAGAAGAGAGGTTGTTTTTGATGGGGGAGGGAAGGGTAATGTATTTGATTAAAGATTATAAGGGTACATGAATTAAAAAAAAATAATGAAGTGCACAGATAAATCATTTATAATAAACACTACAATATTCCAAATAAAAAGAAGATTTGTCAAATTTGATTGCACGCCTTTAAGCACTCCCAATCCACTTTGAATGCACTTCAGAAGTACTTTCGCTGAAAATTGATAGGAAAAAAAATGAAACCATCGTTCATGTTCATATCACTGTGTATAAAGAGCTGAGGAAGCCACCAGAACTGACATTTATGTGGCTTACCAATGCATTCTCATCCTAAGGCGTCATATACGACGCTTTTGTCAATGCGTATACATCATTTTTTACAGTCTATGGTATACATCAAAGCGTCAATATGAGACGCAGATGTATATAGGGCAGAAGGCGCCTCCTAGTGGTCTAACCCCAATCACAACAGACTGTGCTATCTGACCAATCAGAGCAGAGTAGACTCGCGGAAAGGAGGGATTTAAAAAGACTGAATCTTTGAACAACTGTTTTCAGACTCTGAGACAAACTAGGTGATGTGCAGTGAGAACATTAATGTGTTTTTTGACATTGGATGCTTGTAGAAGACTCCAAAACAACATTAGGAACGTTTAAAATAGCATCAATGCTAAATTATTTTGGAAAACTGACAAGTCCTGCAGTGTGACATGCTGAAAGCCAACTAAAAGTTAACACTTATGTTGAATTACATCTTTCACATATATTCACAATTAATTATAAAGCCAACATGATGGATTGTCCAATCCTTACTTCATCAGAGAAGAGATGACACATGAATATATATATATATATATGATGTGCATGGATAAACCATTTATAATAAATGCAATATACAAGAATTGTCTATTTTAAAATCTAGAAAATATATAGATTTATATCATGATGTCATTTGAAAAGTCTAATGGACATGTTATGCATCAACAAATTTATATGTGCTATGTGCAAAAACTGAATAAAATATATATATAAAACATAATTCTTACACACTGGGCGGGTTCTGTACGTGACAGCACCCTTTGCCCTCATAAATAACGCAGACATTGCAATACAGGAGATGTAAGGTGAGCTGTGAGCACTCCCTCGCCGCTCCATGTGTGAGTCTATTTAAAACTACATCACAGATATACATTACTTAAAGTTCATGCTAAATTTGGCATCAAACGGAGACAGCATTCTTTCTGAAAGTTTTTGCATACAAACATGAGATATTTTTATAATTTGGCCTGCATGTGTTTATGCATATAGGCCTGACTGAACTGTCATTCTGCAAAAACCCTTGAACCGTGTCCGGGCCGTGTGGACAATTTTACGTTTTTTATTTTTCCATTGGAATGGTACGAAACTTGGTTTCTTTTTTGACACTTGCTATGTGAAAACACACACACTGGACATGATTCAACAACTTGGGTCCAGAAATTTCATCTAATGGAAACGTTTGGTACTGCGCCCAAATTAAATCTTACTGAAAGCTCATTTTTTGAGAAACCAACCTCAAATTTGGAACAACGTTTGTTTAGATTCATGGCATCGTTTTAGAGTAAACATGTTTTGAAAAATATATATTTCATTTAGAATTTTAAAATCATACTTTTATGTATTTTTCACAATAATAAACTTAAACGTGTATAACTTTTAAAAACTTGTTTTCTATAATCTGTGTCTTCTTTAAAAAGAGACTCATTTTAAGTGCTTCAAAACAATCAAGATTAATTAAAAAGTGATTAACAGGTAATAAATGGATCATAACTGTATAATTTAGTACCACAAAAGCCCCTAAAAATACAAAATATGAAATAAAATAAAAAAAATTAATAAGAAATTACCGCCATAAGGACTAGATGGTTAATTGTATTATTTTTGCATCTGAAATACTGAATTTTCACTGAATGAATTTGATACATAATGCAATAATCTGTTTCTTACAAATGCTATATTTCATATGTAAGAGGCCTAAACAGAAGTGATGCGCTGCAAATGATGAGTGCTCTTGACTAAATCAGTTAAGAGATAGTCATTAAGTAGATGGTGAATGGAACAACTTGTGCAACTCACCGTAAAGTTCACATTGTGTGAGTGCATTGACCTCTGACCTTTTGACCTAGAAATAGAGCACTTTGCTTTGTTAACAATAACAGATGGAGGTTAATCATTTGTGCGTGATGGGTACAATGCGGGGAAAATGACATGAGCTTTATTCAGAACCTATTGTGATGTGCGTTTCCTAAACTCGGTTGACATCAAATGTTTGCAGCCACATGCTTTAACTTAGCAACATGATGGCTAACATGGGTAATTTTCCACCTCCATCATCACTTCCAAAACCTGCTCCCCCTCCCTGCACATGTGCTCAATCGTCTCTCCTGTCGTTCAGTATCCAACATGTCTCATTCACAAACCACTGCAGATAACCTATAGGCTACACACAGAGGTTTTGTGATGCATGATACAAACTTGTTACAAATAAACATATTGGGCTATAAATCATGCAACAGGATCATCAATCATCAAAAAGCACCATTCACAATTCAATTTTGCTCTAATGTATATGATTTTGATATATCATTACTGAAATATGACTCACCATTTGTCCAGCTCATCTTTGGAAACCTTGCACTGAGCAGGAACTTCTTCTGGCATTTTTCTTTGTTTGTGTGACTTAAGTCAGAGAGCTGAGGAACACCGTTAAGATAGGAAAGTACAGGGTGAACAACCCATATATATAGGATTACTTCCCAGACTGTGGGTGGGAAGGAGGAAGAGAGGGAGGAGAAACAGTGTGCAAAAAAGTGTCAGAGAGGGCTGAGATATGGTAAAGGTGACCTGGGCGAAATTGGCCTCAATGGAATGAGCTTATGTTTACTGGGTTAGAGAGCAAGTCTGTCAGGAGAATGTCAAATTTAAAAAAAAATTGGAATGTACCTTTTTTAATGGTAGGCTACATGTCATGTTATATCTATATGTCATGCTGTTTATTTAGTGTCAATGTTACAAAATATCTACAGTTTCTGCTTGAAAGTGTATGCAAAGCATCAAGATCCAGTCGTAATCATTCGTTTTAAAGTGTGAATGAGGAGATTTAAATTTAAAAAACAAACAAAAAAATACTCGTATTTTGTATTATGTGAAACCTTTTTCATATAAACTGGCTAATATCGTACAGGAGGTGAGTAGCTTATATGATGTCTGAATTAAATTGCAGTTTTTCTTGTTAGAAGTTACTGTATAGTGCCTGGGGAGATTCTCAAATATGATTTACATTTTTATATTACCAAATATATTAAGAAGACGTATAATAGTGAAATAGCTACTGTACAGCAGGAAAGAGGAACTGCACACTCAGCACGAACTGCAGCGCGCTGTCCCTCAATCAAACACTAGATGGCGCAGCGCTCTACAGTGGCCACTGCAGGGACAGTCACAAACGGAACTAGGCTAAACCTCAAATACAAGCAACAAATGCTCCGAATTTTCAGAGAAAATACATTAATAATAACAAATTAATTTAATATGATCAAAAATAACAGTTAAATGTTGATCAAAGTCCATGTCATGCCGTTATTTTGTGGTTCTGGCGACATCGTTAATCTGACGTAATTTCCTTTCCTTTATGAGCGACGTTTATTTGTTTGTTTATTCATTTTTTACTGACCGCATTAAACCTATTCTAATGGATTTTACCATTAGTAGCCATATGAACTGCTTTCAGTGCCCATATGAACAAAAAAGACATTAAAACATTATCCGACTGGACATTGGAATATAATAGCCTAAATAGGGCCTAATGCATGCAAAGCCTAATATAGCCTATATATATATATATAAATATTATATAAAATTATAATATACAATTTTATAATATATATAAAAATATATAAAGTATATAAAGTTACTCAAAATAAGTTCTCTAAAAACTATTGAATTAACCTACTTATTAGTTACATTCTAAAGCCCATATTAACCATTAAGCGAGGACATGAAGCTGCTCTTTTAATTCTTTCAAATAAATGATATAAAATTATTCTTGAACTGACCAAAGTATATTTTAAATATTTCATTAATATATTTTATATATAAATTAATATACAATTTAAAATAATGGTTTTATATTTGATTATGAGCTATTTTAAAATATAATTTATTTTTCCGATGATAAGTTCAGTTTTCAGTATTTGCAGTCTTCAGTGTCACATGATCCTTCAGAAATCACATAATGCGGGATCATGTGACACTGAAGACTGGAGTAATGGCTGATGAAAATTCAGCTTTGCATTGCAGAGATAAGTATATTCAAATAGAAAACAATAATTTTACATTGTAATACTATTTCACAATACCTATTGTTTTTTTTTTCCTCCAGAATTTTAATCAAATAAATATAGGCTTGATGATGAGGATAAGAGACTTTTTTCAAAAACATGAAAAATAGTATTGTTTCCAAACTTGAAAAAAAAAAAAAAAAAAAATATATATATATATATATATATATATATATATATATATATATAGGGCTGTGCAAAAATTAATTGCGATTAATCGCATCCAAAATAAAAGTCTGTGTGTACATAATATATTTTTGTGTGCTGTATATAATTATTTTGTATACATAAATACACACACATGCATGTATATATTTAAGAAAATGTGTTATTCATGTATAAAATATTTATATTTATATAATATAGATTATGCATATATATATATATATATATATACACAGAATTTAAGCGCAAATAATTCTTAAATATAGACATGCATGCATAGGTATTTATATATACAAAATAATTATATACAGGCAGCACACACAAATATATTATGTAAACACAGACTTTTATTTTGGATGCGATTAATTGTAATTAATTTTTGCACAGCCCTATATATATATATATATATATATATATATAATAGCTCATGTTTTTCTAACACAACATTCTCAGCCGATTCTCGGTCCCCCTCTAGTGGCCAGCCGCGGAGCTGCGGGTCTGCGGTCACTCTAGCGGCGGGCGTGAGAATGTCTCCCGCCTACAGGCTCTCTCGTACACGCACTGCATCTGTATTTGTCAGGCTCAAATCCAAGGGAGACGAACGAGGCGCCATCTTTCGTGCGTTTCTCCCTTCAACGATGAGAAAATGATCTCGAAACCGGTGGTCTATGACACCTCAAATCTGTAAATAAAGGCGTATATGAAAAGAATTCGTATCTGAGCAAACAATCGATTCATAATATACAACAAAATATATATATATTTGCATAATCCACTGAAGGGGACAGCAGCAGCAAGGTGTTGTCTAGTATCGCCCATTTCGTGATTCCGGAGCCGATAACGAAACGGGGTCCAGAAACCGGGTTGTTTTTCACGAAGCGGACACGGATATGGCACAGGCGGAGGGGTTGCCTGACCAAACGGCTTACTTTGTGCTTTGGTGACATTATTGTGCTATTAAAGCCAAAGGTCGGTGGAATAGTTGCCGAAATTCCCTCGGATCGCGCGCCCGTCACGTGGTAGGTTCCTCCTTTTTCTTTGTTAGTGGACGATCTCGAGCAGCAACACTTATGTTACATAAACCTAATCCTGCACATATATGACTCCTTTTATACAATCACCTGTTGTATTTGCAAGAATAATATGTAACGTTAACGTTACAGTTTTATTTATGGGGCGTTGAAAGCGTGTACGGTCGCTGCGCTTGTTCCTTTAAAACGGATTACTCTCTAGTACTTTGTCATGCAATAAACTCACACGTGTTCTTTTGTATTATTTATTTGCCATTTTAATTGTAATGGGCGCATATATCCTCCCCTTTTGACGCTACTAACGTTAACGTTACAACTCGCGGCCTCATTTTTCTACTAAACTTATGTTTAAAGCCGACTCTCGTTCAAATTGGTGGTTAAAATGACTTGCATAACGTAATCAAGGCCGTTTGAGAGCATATTAATGCTCCTGCTTACAGCACGGTGCGTAGGAGATATTCAGGAATGCCTTAAAATCAACTTCAGCCCTTTTACAATTTATTTTATGAGCATCTACGTCGAGTCTGAACTGAAATGATATTTAATTTATGCACGGAAGTGGTGTGGGGAAAAAATAGACTCGTGCGTTTTGGTTGTAAGAAGCTAGACAGGCGTTCGTGTGTGAGCTTTTATACACGAATTTAACATTAATTTAATACACATTTCTTATTTATGGCGATCTTAAGTGTTTATTATTCTAGTATTTCCTGTATTGTTTTCTGGTGGAGCTCGCTTGTTATCGCAGTCATGCGAATTTCCCGCATTTATCTGATTTTATTTGAAATGACTCGAGCGAACACAGACTCACGGGGTCTTTAATGTACGCTCACTTCGCCCGTTCCTTTGTTAAACCTTAACCGGATTTGTCATGTTTACTACAGTGACATATTAACCTAGTTAGGATCTTCAAACCCGAAAATGGTCGGATAATACACACGCTACGGCGTTTTGTTTTAATGTTTATAGATTAAATGTGCACTCGGTAATTTGTAGCTAATTAAAAATGACTTAAGTTCACTTTTGAGAAATATTAATAAAACATCAGTGTTCTAAAAAAAAAGCTGTTTATTCTACATAGCGCGGGGTCGCCCCCTCATGGGCACCACCATGTTGTCATCACATGACCACCAGTCCGTTTCATGTCACGGAATTGAACGAGATACTATAAATATAGTAATATTATTAAGCGGTTTCTTTACACATGGAAATAAACAGATTTTGTGTAAAGTTGCAGCAGTTGGTAATTTGTTTAAACAAATATCATTTATCACCACTTAAAATTAATGAGGGTACTTTTCATGTGGGACTGCTGCCTTCAGCATCTTCTGTCATGTCAGTATACTTCCTTTAATAATGGAAAGGCTATTTAATTATGAAGCAACACTGAGATACTTTATTAGCAGTAACGTGTTATAATGCTAATGTTGAGTTATGGCATTTGTAAGGCAGAACCTTCTACATGTACTCATGAAGAGATAGTCTCTTATCTGTTGAGGCCTAAAGGCATATCCCTAATTCCGTTGACACAGATGGTCTGCTGAGGAGGAGGGGGCAATGAGGAGGCTTGCTCTTACATAAGCCTGAATAGAGTAGGTCTTTCCATACTAATGACTATGATAATGGTCCCCTCTCTGTTGAGGTCGGTGAGTTTATTAAGGTGAAGAGCATCAGGGCAAATAAATTAATGTTCCATAAGTTCTGATAAAACAGTCCTGTTTGTTTTCATTCACTATTATCTCTAGTTATCTTCTGGCCTGTATTTATCTTAATTTATCTGGTGTTTTAGCATCACAATTGACCCAATTCATTTTTCTGATGTACTTTTTTTTTTGTGAATGGTTCAACAGTGCATGTTGTTACAAGGTGTTTCCCTCAAAAACTAATCTTGTTGAGACTATTGCCTCAGTTGTGTTTCAGGTATTTTCCTCATGAATACCTCTGAAATCTGAGGCCAGTTGTAAGAAAACCTTTAAGATAGGAAAACTCCGTACACAATTCATTTTAGGGGGGAGGTCATATCCATATATACTAATTCAAACATAGCAAGGCAGATAAAAGAGATCTGCTTTGGGTTGGAAACTATTTTCTGTCGATTCTTTAAGTATTACACATTAAGTGGACTAAATAGCTTGTCTCTCCTGCAGGTTGTTATTATTAAATGTTAATGAATAGTAGGCCTAAGTTAGGAATGGT